CTAGCTAGCGGACTGTGTCCTAGTAGTCTACGTCCTAGCAGCCCCATCATAGCAGCCTGTGGCCTCGCGGCCGACATCCTAGCAGTTCACATCAAATCGGGGCGCAAGCTAGACGTTCATGTCCTGGCGGCCCCTGGCCTAGCAGCCCATGTCCTAATGGTCTGCGTCCTCGCAGTCCATAGCCTAGCGGTCTACATCCTGCAGGTCCGCATAGCACCACCCCATGTCTTAGTTGTTTGCTTCCTGCGTTTGTCAGTCACAAGTGCTGTCCTGCACCCTGTTCTTTGGGAAATGTCAGGGAGACAATGTTTGTGGGCCGTTTGGAAAAACAGCCTTTAAAACTGATACCTTACGCTTTAAAAAACAGTTATTTTAACTCCCTTTACATAAAGCACACCTCCTGACAATAGAGGGGAATTCACATCTAACACAAGCCATTTACACAGATTCACTTATTCAACCAACACTTATTAAAGATTTTCAACAACCCATGACTGATTGCAACCAACATCAAAGGAACGTTAAATAAAATTCATTAAGATTTAACCTATGAAAAACCATAACATTTATAAAATATTAATAAAAACTGCTAATATTCCATTGAAGTTCTGAAGGACAACCCAAATTCAGTAGTCCAAGATGAAGTGTTTTTGTCAGAATTACTACTATTGTAACATAACATACTTTATTTGAAAAGTCTACATTCTTCTTGTAAATATCTGTATTTAATGAAAGCTTAATTTAATTATTTATGTACTGATGAAGTGATTGCCTTAACATTTTTGCCAGGCAGTTCAATTTGGGTAACTAATCGGCAAAGGCCCCGCCCCCGATTAATCGCTTTCTCTTCAGCCATCTTCTCCGCTGTTGGAAAGTGATCTGCTTCCCCCTTGTGGCTGCAGAGCCACTTTTCCTAGTGAAATTCCCTGCTTTGCATTGCCTTTAAATGAAGTGAATTAGGGCAGTTAGCTGAAATGTATTTTCTGCTATGGAAACGCCTGGGCAACATACTCATTCTCAGTGGCTGCTGGGTGACATACGAATTATCTTTAAAACAGCTGATCTCTGTATTGAAGGAGCCATGTTAGCAGGCTCTGTCGTGTAGATGCAGAACTGGGGTGAGTTTCCCGAAGCGTTCTTAACGCTACGTCGTTCTTAAGTTCTGTGTTAAAAGATAGAACTAACGAACAACGTAGCGTTAAGAAGGCTTCGGGAAACTCACCCCTGATCATTTCAAGCCAGTTAATTGGTTAATTCTGACTATCAGGTGTAGTTACACCCAGCAGTGATTAACAATCACAGGTGTGTCTCCTCTGACTTCCATGCTTTACTCCCTCATTCAAAATGCAGCCCCTAGTCAGTCACGCGTTTAGGTATTTTAAAATAAGCTGCCCTTAATTAATGAGACAGCATGAAGGTATCAGACTGACTGAACCCCTCACTCTGCTCCGTCAGCCTCACCCTGCCTGTGACCTTAACCGTGATTATTCTGATGCAATTAGTGGAAGGATTGGACACGCTTGTCTTCATTATTAATAGGAGGGTATCGTTTGCTGCTGTATAATCCACCATTATGGGCGTCTTTAAAATAAACGTAAGGTGTGATCCTCTGCCTTTTTCTGGACGTTCCTTAAAGTAGAAGCTAAAAAAATGTTTAAATGCAAATGCAAGTCAAAGCAGAAAGAAAGTGGAGAGCAGCGGTTCAGGTTGATCGATGCGAGGAAGGACACGGAGGCTCTGAGAGGCGATATCACCAACAAGGCCGTTTCTCCTCTTCATCACGGAACATTCTGTGAGGGGCAGCAAGAGAGGCGACCGGAATGGCCCGTTAGCTCTGGATAAAAGGCAGCACAAATGGATTATTAGGGTACCTGCCGTTTTCAATTCGACAGGGTCACATTTAAGTGTATATTTCCAAAGGTTCCCTTCCCATTGTTCATAAAAGATATGAGTTTTATGACAGATAAATTTAAGCTTATTTTATATAAAAAGTATTGTGTAATTTCTCCTCATATTTCGTGATGTGGCCTTGGATGTGAGAGTGTCTAGCAGTGTGTGGGTAAATTGAATTAGAAGGAGGCCATCAGCCTGCCCCCCCAACCCACACACACACACACACTCACTCCCAAGCGTGTGTGCAGACCACCTTAACCAGCGCACCGTGCATCAGTTTATACTCTGTACTGAACACACTCCACTGAACACACATCAACAGGAAGCCACCTCTGTATGTTAATCTGGCTTCTCCTTGGTGTTTCCTCAGATTAGTGAACCTCCATGGAACTGTGTCATATCTGAGACGCAAACCAGGCTCTAGGCTGCTTTTCCAGCTGCTTTTCTCGGAGCAGGTTCAGGTGCAGAGACTCGGGGATAGCTCAGAGCTATCGAGCTCTCACTCCACTATCAGAGCTTTGCTGAGACATGCAGCCGGCGTGAGGCATACAGATGGAGCTGCTCACCCGTCCGTCCATCCATCCATCCATCCATCCATCCATCCATCCATTTAGGAGGCACGCTAATGTTTAAACAGCATGATCTCGGTAGAATATGGAGCATAAAGACACAAGGATCTGTTTGATGAACCGACATGGAACTAAAGTTTTAGAAGGTCGGAAAAGTGACCTAGTTTACATTTCTGAACAAGGTTACACTGACTCACTGAAATTAAAAGCTTCACATATTTGCATATCTCCATAATTTTTCAGAAAAGCATTTAACAGGGCATGAACCTGAAAGAGACAAAGACACACGTGCATATTTAAGAGGACAAAGGTGTGAAATGAGCATGACGACGACTGCTGTCAGCTATGTTAGCAAACATCACCCCGCCAGGAATGCTGAGACAGGAAGTGATGTAAGATAACAACATAAAACCAGTGAATCAGCGTCCATCCGTTAACGTGCATAAGATTAAAATGCCTAGACCCAGATTGTTTATATGACATTGTGTGATGTCTTATAAACAGTCTGTCAACTGCCTCTGGTTCATTTATAAAAACTGTACTATCAAATCTTTATCAATCCCTGTATGATGTTTGGATGTTTTGGCTACTCTTGTCTTCCTCATTCACAGCTGTGTGTCAAGTCAGACGAGAGGCCTCACATCATGTGGGTGTGAATCCCCAACATTATTTTCCACCAGTCTCTGTACCTACAGCAAACTCAGGATGTGCCCACCTACCTGTTAATCAATCAATAATCACTTTATTATTTATTATTATTGGGGGCAACATGTGGCTCAGCGGGCTAAGCCTGTGTGCTTGTAATTACAAGGTTCAAACCCAGCCTTAGCACATCTGTGGGTCCTTAAGCAAGGCCCTTAACCCCCAGCTCCTTTGGGCACTACCACAGGTGGCTGTCCTTCACAGACAACTTACCCTACAAAAGAGCAAGTTGAGGGAGGCGTAAAGACAATTTCCCCATGGGGATTAATAAAGTGATTATTATTATTATTCAAATGTCCCGACAAAGAGTTGAGATTGATTCTACAAATATATGAGCATGCGTGTAATACAGGGTGCCGACATGAGGAGTCCTGGACATTGCGGAATATGGTAAGGGGCCCAAAATGTGGTGGCCGTGTCTCTGTGGGAGGTCCCCTCCGAGTGCAGTGTGCTGGAAAGTGCTGTAAATTCACAGAGATGGGTTAACCCTTTCCTCTCTGCACTGCAGAAGCGTGGTGCCGTCCACTAGGTGAGAAGCCTCATTCCAAATGAGTTATTAACCGTATTTTTTGAATAGATGGAAAAATTGTAGCCTGGCTATTTAAGTGTCATAAAGCAGGGGAATGCAGCTGCGGGCCTCCCAGGAACAAAAGGCAATACCATTACAATCAAATCTGAGATGGAAGAGGGATTGAGCTGTCCACTCGGAATTTTTATACTGTCAAAGAGCAGGGAGGGAGTAATGTGATCCTGGACCGAATTAACCTCTAGTGTGGATGGAGGGAACAATGTCATCTACTGGAAGCCAGGAGGGGGGTGGAGGACAAGGAAGAGGAAAGGATCACAGGCGGGTGGGTGACAGCTGGACTGTGTGTCAATATCATACACCCGATACCAACTAAGAGTGTGGAGTGTTGTGCTTTGGTTTCATTTATAACATACCATTTGACTCATTTATAATATACCCAGAATATTCTACCTGACTCATTTATAATAAACCCAGCATACTCCACCTCAATCATTTATAATAAACCCAACATACTCCACCTCAATCATTTGTAATATACCCAGCATACTCTACTTGACTGTTTTATAATATACTCAGCATACTTCACCTGACTCATTTATGATATACAGTATGCAGAGTACTCCACCTCAATCATTTATGATATACCCAGCATACTCCTCTTGACTCCACCTGACTCATTTATGGTTTACCCTGAATCCTCCATCTCATTTATAATATATCCAGCATACTAACCTGACTCATTAACAATGTACTGACTCATTTATAGTATACCAAGATTACTTCACCTGATTCATTTATAATATACCCACAAGACTCCTCCTGACTCATGTATAAGATACCCATAATACACCACCTGATTCATTTATAATATACCCACAATATTCCACCAAACTCATTTTTGATATACCCAGAATACTATCCCTGGATCATTTATAATATTCCCAGCATACTTCACCTGACTCAATTATAATATACCCAGCATACTTCATCTGATTCATTTATAATATACCCAGAATTCTGCAAATTACTAATTTATAATATAATTTATATTCAGCATACTCCACCTAACACATTTATATTATCCAAACCAAAGATTTATTGATCGCATACATAGTTATAGTCATTAAAGTGTGCAGTTAATTGCTTGTATGTTTTACGTAAGAAGCTTGTATTCATTAATAAATAAGCATGTCACTTGCAAGCGTGGGCTTTCATAGAAATTAAACAACGCATGTGACGCTGTCATTGAAGCCGCAAAGCTCCGGCTATCCGACCAATAAGGAAACGCCTCCTCCGGGGTCAACGTTCATCCAAACGGAAGCTGCTGGCTGTTGTACCCGGAAACGACGTTGCATTCCGGTTCTTTTATTTACACTACAGGCGTATTAGGCTGGAAAACCGGTGTTTGTTATGGTCGGTACATTTGGAGAAAATCGCTGAAGTTAAGCCTCGGTGCCGTAATGCTCGCTTTGAAAGGTGATAGGTGTCCCCAGTGTTTACGCTGAAACTCGAGTGGACTCAATCATATGTTGCGGAAGTGAAGCGTGTCTTTCCCGGAATGTCTGCTATGAATTTGCACAGGTTATCTACGTGGGTGTGCGGGCTGGCCGCTGACACGGTGCGGAGCTGTAAGGCTTGATGAGGAATCGGTCGGTAACTTACTTGCTAGCCCCGTGTCCTGATCGCAGCGTGAGCAGGTAAGGATTCAACTGCAGATCGAGCCTTTTCTCTGTGAGATACAACCAGCATTGTATCCTTATTCGGGAATCGTGCAAACGTGGCAACTTTTATCAAATGTCCGCAAAAACAGGACGAAACCTCACCGTTAACTGTGACGTGTTACCTTGCAAAAGTTTCATAACACGAATAGAAGTTTACTTCGAGCCAAGGACGTTCGGTATCGGTAGTACGTTAAAGTTCCCTGTTTGCTGACACAAAGTGCAGAAAACAAAACATTTATATCAGGAAGAAACGCCCTTCAGCTGCACGGGGACTGTGTATGGCTGTCATGACGTTGATGTTTTGGCTTTACATTGCTTTTGTATCTGTAGCTCGCCATGAGTGACAAATTCGGCTTCATTAATTACAACAACGCCAGGAAGCACATCTCCATATCGGTGCCGTCGGCCACGGAGGTCATGTCGCCCCATATCAAGTCAGTGGAGGACCTGCGAGTGCTGGGCATCAACCTGAGCAGCTTCGGTACCTTTGCCCAGTTCTTCATCTGCGTCACCGGTGTCTTCGTCTTCTACCTGGTTTACGGGTACTTGCAGGTGAGCCGGACTCCTCTTGTGAGGTATTTAAAGCCGCCAGCGAGTAGTCAGGGCAGACAGAAACATCCAGAAAAGACGCACGCAGCTCCAAGCAGAGCAGTGCTGTTGGACTTGCGCTTACTGGTGTTGTTCGATGCTGCTGAACATGTCAGCTATGCAATGCACTGAAGCGTGAGCCTGCGTTTCCACGGAGAAAAGGCCAGTTCAGCCAGGCGAATAGTGACAGAGTAAAGCACAGGATGGTTAGCATGCAGGGCAGTGTTTCATAGACACCATTGATCTGAACATTTCCAGGAGCTCATCTTCTCCATGGAGGGTTTCAAACCCTTCGGCTGGTACCTGACCCTGGTGCAGTTTGGCTTCTATTCACTCTTTGGACTGGTGGAGCTGCAGCTCACCCAGGATAAAAGGCGGAGGTAAGAGCCCAGCCATCATGCCCGCAGTGACACCCATGCCAGCCTCCCGGCCACTTATTACCAGCTTGATGCCCCTTTAAGCTTTTCCCACGGTAGTCTTCCTGCACCCTCTGCCTCTGGCCCTTTGCCCCAGATCCACCGTAAAGTGGCCCCTGATTCTCCTTGCTCCCCCCCCCTTCCAGTAGAATGGTGCCCTGTTGTTCAAGGGCGGTGGTTTATTTTTAATAGGGGACTGGGGGTTGAGGAGCGCTGCTTGACCCCTGAGATATACGAAACCTCAGATATTAACTCCTTCCAATCGAGCCAGATCTGGTTGTCAGTTTGTTTACTGGCCTTTTTCCTTTTTCAGAATCCCAGGGAAAACATACATGATTATTGCCTTCTTAACCGTGGGCACCATGGGCTTGTCCAATACATCTCTGGGATACTTGAACTATCCCACCCAAGTTATCTTCAAGTGCTGCAAACTCATCCCGGTGATGGTAGGCGGAGTTTTTATCCAAGGTAAGGGTCAGTGCTGAATCCCCACCCGACTCTCTCTGATTCCCTGGTGGTGAATCGCTGTCCCTATGTGTGTGTATGTCGGAGTGCTCTCGTGTCACTCTGGGGCCGTCTCCGTGTCACTCTGGGGCCGTCTCCGTGTCACTCTGGGGCCGTCTCCGTGTCACTCTGGGGCTCTTCTCCGTGTCACTCTGGGGCTCTTCTCCGTGTCACTCTGGGGCTCTTCTCCGTGTCACTCTGGCGTTCTCCTCCGTCTCACTCTGGCGTTCTCCTCCGTCTCACTCTGGCGTTCTCCTCCGTCTCACTCTGGCGTTCTCCTCCGTCTCACTCTGGCGTTCTTCTCCGTGCCTCGCAGTAGTAACCGTGTTTTCGTGCTGTCGTTGATTTCTTCGATAGTACGCCTCCCATCCTGTAGCTTCCCACTGTGATAGATTTAGCTGCATGGACCCAGTTTTTCCTTGGGGGTGCTGAGTCTGCTTGCAGGGAGGGGGGGGTTTCTAGGGGCATCTGGGCAGCTACAGCTTCACTTAGTCCATGTGGGCCATCGGTTGTGGGGGGATGGGGGTTTGACGCCACCCCTGACTTTGCTCCGTAGCCTGACGCTCTGTGTTGCCTGGTCCTGGGGACTGGGGGCCTTAGTGTTTGGCTGCCCCCGGCTCAGGGTGCGAAAGGCCTCACCGGTGCTGCCTTGCAGGGAAGCGCTACAACGTGGCCGACGTGTCTGCCGCCATCTGCATGAGCCTGGGGTTGGTGTGGTTCACGTTGGCTGACAGCAAAATCGCCCCCAACTTCGACCTCACAGGTGCTGCACCCCTTTTAATTACCCCATATTTTTTCATTGTTGGCTTTTACTATTCTTGCTGATATGTTTGTCGTTGTATGATTCCTTTTATGTATAACTTTTTAAATGGATTAAAGAAATCCCCCATGTCTGTGTGAATGTTCAGTGGAGACCTCGCCCCCTTGTGCTTGTCCCTGTGTCACATAGACTGTTCCCTGCTCTCCAGGGGTCATCCTCATCTCGCTGGCGCTCTGTGCTGACGCCGCCATCGGGAATGTGCAGGAAAAGGCCATGAAGCTCCACAATGGCTCCAACTCTGAGATGGTAAAATGGGAGCAGTACCACCCGGGGGCCGGCATGTCGAGGCGGTGATGCTAACGTGCTAACCGTATGGCCTTGGCTTGCAGGTTCTGTACTCCTACTCCATCGGCTTTGTCTACATATTCGTGGGCCTCATCTCTGTCGGGGGTCTAGGACCAGCGGTGGCCTTCTGTTCCCAGGTGCCCTTATAAACATCACAGCAGCTAATAAAATGAAATAGTCAAAATATACTAAATCTCTGCTTTGTTCTGAATGGTTCAGTCAGACTCTAATGCTGCCGGTTAGGTTATTGGTTTGTGTTGGGTTAGACTAATCAGTGTCTGATCATTTAGATCACAGGTGTCAAACTCCAGTCCTGGGGGGCCTGAGCCCTGCACATTTTTGGGTTTCCCCTCGTTTAACACACCTGATTCAACCCCTTGTGCTAATTACCACATAGCTGTTGAACTGAATCATTTGTGGTGGAACAGGGAAAGAACTAAGCTACACAGGGCTCCGGCCCCCCAGGACTGCAGTTTGACACCCCTGATTTAGGTGATTGGTTGGTCTAACCCGACACAAACCAGTGACAGACAGAACACAGTAACCCTGCGCCCCCGCCCCCCCCACGGGCCCCCCTCGCTCTGTACTCATCCCCGGCCCCCATGTCCTGCAGCACCCGTTGAAGACCTATGGTTATGCCTTCCTCTTCTCGCTCACTGGGTACTTTGGCATCTCCTTCGTCCTGGCCTTGATCAAGCTCTTTGGCGCCCTGGTTGCAGTTACAGGTGGGCGTCTGCATCCGTGCTAACTCTCTGAACGTGTGCATTTCTCACACGATATGTCCCAGGTGGCTTCGTGACGGGTGTCACTAATGGCTGACTATCTTTGCTCTTCTTTTCTCCCCCCACCTTCATTCCCCTTTTCAGTGACAACAGGCAGGAAGGCGATGACAGTTGTCCTGTCCTTTATGTTCTTCGCAAAGCCGTTTACCTTCCAGTAGGTGGCATCGGTCCACTTCCGACCGCCTCCCCCTACATTGATGTGTCATAGTGTCACTTGCTGAGCCGCGTGACCCATGAATAATTGTCTGTCTTTGCTGGTTTCTTCGCAGGTATGTGTGGGGTGGCCTCCTCGTGGTCTTCGGCATATTCCTGAATGTTTATAGCAAAAACAGGGACAAGATGAAGCTTCCGTCTCTGGCAGACATCAGGAAACTGGTGTTATCGAGGAAACGGGGGAGGCTGCTATCGCAGAATGTGTAGACTGCGGACCTGACGGACATGTCACGATCCAATCAGGACCTGCGAGGGGCGGGACTCTGAGGCCAGGCCTGATGGCACCCCGGAGATGTGAGGAGGTCCTTCTCTGAGCTCGCGGGGAGCTGGTCACCTCGTGGTGCGCTGGCCATAGCACGGCACACTTCAGGTTTAGAAGAATGGGACCTAGGCTGGTGGGAGTGCAGGGGCGATTGCTGTCTGTGTTCCTGCCCTGGTGTGGGTATGGGGATAATCGATGTATGTGCTGCCACTCTGGCATGATTAAGGGGGTAATCACTGTCTGTACTGGCGTGGGTCCGGGCTCATCTCTGTCTGTGTTGCCACACTGGCACAGGTATGGGGGTATTTGCTGTCTCTGCTAATCGTGTCTATGATGAATATGTGGGAAAAAGTGCACGTTTGACACGTGCCGGTAAACTTGCCTCACTCCAATGCCGTCCTCCACTGTATACTGAACCTTGAACTATGTTTGTCATACAAAGAAAATTACCTGATTGTCTGAACTGCCACATTTGTGGAGAGTTTGTCCTGAGACGGGTTAGGGAGCGATCTGAGTGCGGTATAGTGACCTGCGGCTCCTTGTCACTCTGGCGGGACCCCAGCCTCAGGAGTCGAGGAAAGCTAGCAAACTCCGACAATCATAGTGGGGCGCTGTGGGAACTGGGGGTGGGCGGCAAGGAGAACCTGCTGTTCCCCCCCACATGGGCAGCCGCGGGGTGTGACGTCAAAATGGATGTGAATGTGACTTTTATAAAACGCCTGAGGTGGGTGCACATGTGAGAAGGTGGGGGCTCTTTGACCTGTACAGACTCCTTTGAGGGCATTTTGCTGCCATTTTATTTAATTCCAAGGCTATATTATTTACCATAATTTGTTTTTGGCTGTTTTCTTGATCTTAATTATTACTTTTGGACCCACGTTACGTATTAAACATGGACAAACATCCTGTAACTCTCCTGCATTCCAAACGAAAGAGGAGATGTCACAGCATGCAGTGAACACATGCAGTGAGATGTCACAGCATGCAGTGAACACATGCAGTGAGATGTCACAGCATGCAGTCCAGCATTTATCTGCAAAAAGCATCTGGCTGCATAGCCCTGATGCTCCAGAGCGGGGCATCGGGAAGTGGTGGGATCATTTCTCAGGGCTTACAGGGGAGTAGATCACTCCACATGAGTGTGGTCCTCCACAACGTCCATCATCCAGAGCATTCCACGCAGCTCATGCACCCTTGTGCCGACTGTCCTCATCTTTCACTGGGATCGTCACCTGTTTTTGTTTCCGTCAGGCTATCTCTGCATTTCATGGGGAATGTTTAATAAAATAAAAATTAAAAAAAAAAAAAAAAAATTTTGTTCGTTTTGTCTTTGACTTTGTGGTAGAATAGAAAAATTTGTGAGGCTTTATTTAACCGCTGTGGAGAAATTCTCTTTTTGCCTACGGCGTCTTGCATTCCATGAGACACACTGGAATATAATCGGGGATAAGTGGAATCAGAGGACATTTACCCTTAAGTTGAACATAATCATGTGAGTCTCTGTTTTAAGAATTAGTTCTTATAAATGTAAATATAAATGGGGGGCAGATGTTATGTGGTGCCTTAGCATTGTGAGTGAGGCCAAGCACAGTTGTTTGAAGGGCACCCCCCCCCAGCATGAGTGCCCCCTCCAGGCAGCCCCATGCCCCCTCCAGGCAGCCCCATGCCCCTAGGCGAGCTGAGGTCTTGTCCTTTGGTGCCATGTGACTTAACGCAGCTCAGAGCTTTAAGAGTTGCTTTCCTGCTAACTGCCACTGAGATAGATTCTGGCCAGAGTGGAGACAGGGTTACGTTTGGGTCACGTTCAGGTCACACTGGCCCCTTTACACATTAACACGCCACTGTGCTGATGCTGATTTGAAGACCTTGATTGGACTGTGTGGATCACCCTGCACGGCCATGTTGGACAGTGCAGTATAATATGCTAGGCAGTGAAAGTGTTTCAGATCAGATCAGATTCACCTATTTGTCTTCATGCAGAGTACAAGTACAATGCCTATGAAATGCAGTTTGTGTCTGACCAGAAGTGCAGAAATAACATTTACAGAAAGTACCATAATTTACAGTAAAGCGCAGGAGTTTAGAGCTAGTACACAAACCAGGAGGGTATATGGGGTCTGCAATATATGGGAATATTGATGTGCATACATCTGCATATATATAAGCGATATATAAGATATATGTAACAATGTTTAATAATAAATTTATTTATGTAGCAAAACAAGTTTACAAAATGCTTTATGTGACAAGAATACCAGAAGAATACAAATCAAGAAGGCACTGAAAAAATAAACATGTGAAATGCAAAGACATGAATTCAGCACAATAATAAATACATTTGTGACAAATAAAATGCAACAGTAAGTAAATGGATGATATAGAGAGAATGGAAGATATATACAGAAAATGCAGAATAAATAATATTGTGAACAGAATAGATAATACTGTATTGTTAAGTAGAGCATATGAGGGCGGGGGGGGGGGGGGCTGTCAGTGCTGTAATCTCAAGCTCAGCAGAGTGACAGTCGTGGGGGTGCGAGTGCGGATGCTCCTGCAGCGCCTGCCGGGGGGGGGGGCGCCATCTCTGGGGATTCCCATTGCCCCCCTTGATCCGTTGAGCGATATTCACCGCCCAGTGTAGAGTTCCGTGGGCAGAAGCGGTGGTACGGTACTGAGATGCGGTTTGTGATGATGCTCTCCATGCTGCAGCAATAGACGTGGGTTTTCCTCTCAGCCTCTGCAGGAAGTAATGGCTCTGTTGCACCTCTTTGACCAGCACAGAGGAGAGATATGTGGACACCAAGAACCTTGAAGCTGGGCACATGCAGGACTTCTTCTCGGCCGAGGTGGAAGGGAGTACGGTTACAGCTCATTGCCCATCTGAAGTCCACAATGATCTCCTTGCTTTTCTGAGTGTTAAGGGCCAGGTTATTGTCCATTCAGCGCTCCACCAAGGGCTGAACCTCAGCCCTGTAGGCCACCTCACCATCGCCTCTTCTTATCTTATTAGGCTTGTCACCATGGTGTCATTTGCAAACTTTATAATGGTGTTGGAGCCACATGTGGGAATGCAGTCATGGGTGAAAAGGGGGAAGAAGAGAGGGCTTCACAGCTTTGTGGTACAGCGACGTTTAAGGGTGTTTGTCTGCAATGAGTGACGTGCATTTCGCTCAGATAAACAGTGGCGATGCCTCTGGGAGCCACAAGTGAGGGGCTGGTGACACCATCGTGTGCCCTGTGTCACATAGCCTGTGTCACCACTGCATGACCTGTGTCATCATCACCTGGCCTGTGTCACATAACCTGTGTCACCACCACCTGGCTTGTGCCACCACCATGTGGCCTGTGTCACAGTGAGTTTTCAGCAGCCCAGGATAAGTGACAGTGAGTCCCAGCTGAGGCTTTTCCAGGTGCTGTGTGGTCAGGGTGTCTGACGGTGGCATTTCCCTGTCCCTCCCTCACTCACACACACACACACACACACACACGCATGCATGCACGCACACACACGAGGGCTTTTATTAATGCCTCCCTCCCTCCCAGGTTCAGTGACCCCTGCGCCATTCCTCTGGCCCCCCCATAATAAATAATGGGGGTGTCTGCAGCTCATCACAGCCGCAAATAGGCTGGTATATAACATGCCGTCGTCGTCAAATTGCCGCAGCGGGGAGGTCTGGCAGCCCATCCATTACGGCCATTAGTTCAGCAGTAGAGGCTGCCTTCGTCCTTGGGCCTGCGGAATGCACCGGAAAGTCGAAGGGGGCTCCAGAGCCAAATCCTGGAGAAGCACAAAATGTCAAAAGGAGGGCAAATATTCAAAATGAGGGTGCCTTTTATTCCAGACGTATATCATAGGCCTTGGGGAGAGGTGGGGGCCATGGGGGGGGGCGAGTGGTGGACAGAGCATGTTTTCAGCTGCAGTGAGTATGGTGACCCCCTTCCTACATGGGATTTTTCTCCATACTCACGCTCACGCTGACAAACAGCCTTCACACAGATATGCCATCTGTTTCATGAGAGATCTGCGTTACAGTCCTCAGGGCGAATGTTTATCGCCTACACTGTGATTCCTGCAAGGATATGGCAGGACGTGGCAGTAATCAGCGTGTTGCTCTAAACCTGGCTGAAGAAGACGGATGATCCCTTCCTGCAGTAACGGACTGATGAACGCCACACCCCGTGTCGAATGACATCATACATGCACAGGAACACAATCCTTGGTAAGGTTTTGACATGGACTTGTAGAAGGTCACCAGGACAGTCATGCCACCTTATTGCAATAGCGATCAGAAGCAGGGTGATCGAGTCTGGCCCGGGTTGATGCCGTGTAAGCCCCGTGTGGCCGCATCACAGTGAGCACATGCCTGTGCATGTGCGTGTGTTTCCATAGCACACGCCGTGAATCTTTCTGCATGGATTCGCCCTGTCAGCACCCGGCAACAATGCTGTAAAAACGCCGTTTTCTCACACGGCTTTTGCCGAGACTCACCAGCTTGACTACTGCTAATATTCCTCCTTCACTCAAGAAGAGAAATTTTTAATAATAAATATCTAATAATTAATGGGCTGCTAGCTGCACTTGTCTTGAGGGCATAATATCTCATTTCCTCACAACGTTTCATATCTTCACTCCTTCACGCCGCGGCGGTCCATCATTAAACCCAAATTCAGGTTTCTATCACTTTTATTTATTTTTCAAATCAGCGTATAAATCAGTGCCACTGCCAGTTACAGATGAGTTCCAATAAATTACAGGCGCGGGACAAACTCAGAATGTTAAACAGGAGGCGTGCCGAGCCACTGGATGCCTTTGCAGGCGCTCTGGGTGCTCAAGAGACGTGCGAAGCCCCCGGGGGGGGGGCGCTATGGACACTCTCTCAAAGCCTCCTGTTTAATTGTGTGCTGCTTAAACAACACACGCAGAGCCCACAGGGTGCGCTGAAGCCAGGCCGTGAACCGGCCTCTTAATCTCTACCCCCCCTCCCGGGGGGCACATTTCGATTACAAGGCTAGGTTGCGGTTGCCCCCATGCTTAGTGTCAGGAGATTCAGAGAAGGTGGGAGCAGCAATCTGCCGCTTCACGTTCCAAGGTGAGGGTCCTGCAGATGTGGCTGCAGAACTCGCCTCAGAGAGCCTGGGAGACCTATCATATACCCAGGACTGTGGATCCAGAACTGACAAAGATCTTAGCGGGTCAGGGGGATACCCAGGACACCAGCAGCTGCTGGACAAAGGCTGAGATGAGGTCCTGCTTGACAGCTTGATGGTCTCGCAGGAGCCGGTGTAGCTGGTTTAAGCACAGAGTCCCTCCCAAAACATCATCATAATAACAACACACATTATTAGATGTGTTTTGTCACAATTAAGTGCAAACACGGGCCGCTCTGCCTCCTACATCGCCGTACATCACCGCCGACGCCGGCACGGCAGCTACGCCTGACTTTACACACCTCAGCCGCTGCCGCCCGCCGCTTTAATAAACACACTGAATGATGCAGCTTGCTGCTGCAGCAAAGCAATTTACCGCATGGCTGCCGTTTGCCTATTAATTTGCGCACAGAGACGGCGGCTGGCAGGCGGATCGGCATGCCGACACGCCGCCGCGTCCTGCATCTCCTCACGGACACGGCTCCATTTTTAATTATAACGCTGTTTCCCGCCATGCTAGTGTTGGCATGGGAGAGGTATGTAACGTAAATTAATAAAGCGCCCGGGAAAAACAGAGCCCATATGTGCCTCTCCTGGGGCTGTGGCATCAATAATGCCCCCCCTCCCCCCGAGGCACCACCCAGACATCTCAAATCCATGTATTCAGTAATTAGCTACACAGTGTCTGTTCCCCCATCAGCCCTGAGACCAGAGTAACCTATAGATGGCGCCATGCCAGAGCGGACTCTGGGCCGCGAAGGGCGTACTCAAACTTGGCCCGGTTTTTTTGTACCATGCCTGAGTACAATTGTGCCTCCTCCCCACTGGTCTGCACTCACAGGTTCTGGGCCTGAGCAGGCTTTTGTCATCGCCGTGCGACTTTTTGCGTTGAAGAAAACATAAGAAGTAAAGCACTAACACACAGCACAACAGAGCTCATGATTAATGCCCTTAGTTTATGGCTTATTTGGAGTCATTTTGGGTGTGATGACACACAGCCCTCTTATAGATTTATCAAGTATGCAATGCAGTGACTTTAATTGAATTGTGCTGCACTTATAAAAAGATAGTTCCATATTTTACCAATTTTTTTTTGTGTTGCATCCAGTTGTTCGTGGAACACTGCAGTGTTTGTTAAATGTTTGTCGCTACCCAATCTGC